CAAGCACATTAGCCATGAGGCCACCATGCCTCACAAACAAAGCAAGACCAAAACAAAAACGCGCTTGAGTATTCTCGCTATATGTATACAATGAATGCAATTACTGATTGATTTTCTCAAATAACAAATTATTTGTTTATTCATTTGCAGCAGAAAGGTATGAGACCAAGGGGATATGGGATGGAAGTCACTGCTGATGGGCCTGACTTTACAGATTCACCCTCCCCTAGCCAGGGAAGTCAACTGCAGTGCCCCAACTGCAGGAAATATTTTCCACATGACCTGCTGGAGAATCATATGCGGGATTGCACGGGAGATGATTGAATAGCTTACATGAGCAGGATGATGACAAGATTTTGAGATTGCCATGGACAGGGATGGAGTTTGGAAATGGCTGATGATGCTAGCTGACAATGGATTAACACATGAAGACCTACATCAGCTTGTTATGGTTACATCACTGTTTTTCTCGACATTATCCTGCTCATGTAAGCTAAAAAGGAAGGTCATCAGATTGAGGCACTTGATTCCCTAATCAAGGAACTTTTGCCCTCCACCATCAAGTGGAGCAAACAGCGTCAAGTTGGGGGCAACAATGCTGGCAGCATCGTCAAGTTATGAAGAAGGTTTACCACTGCTGAACCATGCGACTTATATTTGCAAACAAATGTTACTGCTGTTATGTTGATTTCATATTTGAACTGAAAACTCGAACTCAAGATTACGACAAAAAGAAATGACANACAGATCTTTTTGTCTTCGCAAAATTGTTTCAAGTTAAGTGAGCTCTTTCATCTGATTTTTAAGGAGAGGTTTACCCCTCCCCGGGGGAACTCCCATAGAATCACTCCCATATAAAAAGGAACGGGGTGCTCGGCGTAAATTTTGAAAAGAACCCCTTATAAGTACCAAGACGCTGTTTTGTGGGCGTGGCTTGAAATGTCTTTCACCCCTAAGAGGTACCAATTCTCAAACAACACGTTATCTCCTGTCATATTTTTTTCGGCTCAATTCAATGTTCTAGAAGGTATCGCAAAAGCTCCCACGGTGGACCTTTTTGAGGTAAAACACCCTAAGAGGTATGAAAACCAATTTTTAACCCCTAAATGGTACGACGAGCACACCAGTCCCTTTTGTATGGGACCCCGCTCCCCATTCCCCCGGGAGGATTATGGGAAGNAAAAAAAAGCACAAAAACCAAAAAACACTTACATAAATTTGTGATCTAAAAAGATATCCAAAGCGTCTAGTAGCTATCAATGTGGTGTTTACACGCTGTAACTTGCAATTATTTATTATTAGTAAAGGTTTAGTTTAATAGTTTTATGATAATGAGATTTTTTTGATATAAAAGTTGCCTTCATTTTTTCTAAGACTTTATTGAGGTTCCATTAGGCTGAGTTCTGTTTGTCTTAATTGATACTTTTTAAATGTACCTCAAGTTGTGTGCATTGTACATTTATATAAGATAACTCGCTGACTACTGTTGAATACTGTATGTTGTAGTTACAATGTGAATGGTACTGTTTAATTGTACATTTGATTCTCTCTGTTTGCAATTGTATAAAGTTACTCACTGTAGCCTCTTGAAAGTTCAAATGCATAATAAAGTCTCACATCTGACTTTCGTCTAAGTTCTGAGACGTCACACCACACTCTTACGGACGTCATCTATACAGTGGCTGGAAATCCGAGCAGTACCCTAGGGGAGGAGGAAATGTACTCGCATATCTTACTCCAGGTTCTCATGTTCGTCAAAAAGCGGACAGGCTATTCAAGTCCACCGCAATTCCCTCTCTACCAGAGAGACAGATCTTTTTGTCTTTGCAAAATTGTTTCAAGTTAAGTGAGCTCTTTCATCTGATTTTTAAGGAGAGGATTACCCCTCCCCGGGGGGACTCCCATAGAATCACTCCCATATAATAAGGAAGGGGGTGCTCGGCGTAAATTTAGAAAAGAACCCCTTAGAAATACCAACACCCTGTTTTGTGGGCGTGGCTTGAAATGTCTTTCACCCCTAAGAGGTACCAATTCTCAAACAACACATTATCTCCAGTCATATTTTTTTCGGTTCAGTTCAATACTCTAGAAGGTATCGCAAAAGCTCCCATGGTGGACCTTTTCGAGGTAAAACACCCTAAGAGGTATGAAAACCAATTTTTAACCCCTAAATGGTACGACGAGCACACCAGTCCCTTTTGTATGGGACCCCGCACCCCATTCCCCCGGGAGGATTATGGGAAGGTCGTTTCAATGCGACAGTTTGCTAAAAAAATAAAAATACAGTATCTGGTTCCACAAATGTTGGTCAGTGGTCTTTTGAACGAAAGCTAGAGAACTTCTCTGGAAATAACTCCCAGTTCTTTCTGCCATCAGTTTTTAGAGCGTCAAGTTGAGTGTCCTGTGGTGCTGTTGGTATCGTGGTGACCTTTGAACAGGCTGGGGTGAAAGACACAACGGGGAGCAGAGCTAGCCGAGAACGGTCTGGGGAACAGAATCGTTACGATTTTCAGATGATGTGAGATGTATGTCAAAAACTAGAAGCCTAATACTAGGAAATGATATAATAATGGAATAATAAACCCTTATTCGATGGTTTAACAAACCTAATTTATTAAAAACTGAATCACTGGATGATGCAATTCAAGACTTATCATTGGCTTAGCCATCAAGGTATATGAGCTCTTATACCATACTCTACAAATATCATCTTACATCTTATTGATGTATAAATTTTCTCTGTTGTAGATAATCTAATTTATTGCCCCACTAATTTATAGATTTAATTTTTTATTTAGTGTCCACATGCCTTCAAGGCTAAATCTTTTAGACGTATGGGTTATTGACCAAGCTTGTTCGGTCAAGATGGCTGGATATTGGCCAAGTTATTTTCTTGCGTGTTTATGGACCGAGACGGAGTCGAGGTCCATAAACACACAAAAAAAGAACGAGGCCAATATCCAGCCATCTTGACCGAACAAGCTTGGTCAATAAAGGATTTATTACATGGCTTTCCAGGAAATTTTTCTTGCGGGACACGGCGGGTAGTCCCGAGCGGACAAGATAGCTCCCTCTTGCCCGCTCGGGTAGCCAATTACAGCGCAGGATTTGATTCATCTTGCCCGCTCACGGAGCTGGCCATATAATAAACTGAAATAATAAAGTTTATGTATGTATATGGCCAAAGTATGGTAAAGATGTTTTTTGGGGGCGCGTTTTTATTTTTTATTTTATTTTAGTTTTCTACATTTTGGGGGCATTTTTAATAAAACAATTATTCCACTCGCTCTTGTTAGGCGGGGATATGAGAAGATTATAGCCAACTCGACGCTACAAGCCCCGTTGACTATATATCTATCATCTCACATCCAACGCGCTTTCGTGGAATAATTGTTAAATATAATACGCGCGGGGTGATGTTTTGCGTGAAACACTGCGATGGCTTAATTGGGCAAGGCCCATTTGTAATTTGAATAGCTTCAGCACTAAGAATATAGGTTTGTTGGAGCCCCGACTCTTCCGCTTTGAAATGAAACATCTGCTTACTTGTATTATATTTTAAAATTCTACATGTCACAAAAACTGATGAATGGCGAGTAACACATGCTTAATGCGTGCTTAGTTCATGTATGTTGTGGTAACTCAAGAAAACCGCTTTTCAGTCATGTCATCTGTATTCCTAATACTTTATTCATTCATTGATGTTGCAGGCGGGCAGACAAAGTAATTTTAAAATGTTTGTCACGAAAAATATGGAATTTTAAATAAAAGATGTTTTGAAATGGATATTTGTAGTGATGCCAGTCAAGCTTATTACATCATCAATTCAGCCTCGCTTTCAAAGTGCCAAATCCACTTGGAAAGATGGGGGAGGTGGGAGGGGAATTAAGAAGGATCTCGTCTAAAGAAGGTGTAGGAGTGAATTTTCAGCGACTGACTTATTATGGAGCGTGCTCATTGCAGTCTCAAGGTACCGTAAACTTCCGAAAGTAACGTCAAAAAATTCCCGCCGCTCATAAATCCCGAAAGTAGCGAGCCCTTTGAAAGTAGCGAACCCACCCCTACCCACCCCTCCCGAAAATAGTGAGACCAAATTTCAATAGTATATTTTTTTCCAATCAATAGCCAGGCGGTGAAAGTTGAAGTACGGTAACAAAGGAGAAGATATTGCTTATGCCACGAATCGTTGTGAAATGTCAATATTCCGCTTACTTCATCAGTTAGTGCTGCGCCGTGTTAAAAGGTCTTAAAACGAAACCCGTAGAATTTTCATTAAGTAACTTTGATTCAAATTAACATCATTTTCAACAGGAGCGTATTAAAAGAAAGACACTGAGATATTGCTTCAGCAGACTAACATAGCAGTGCGTCATGAAGTTGAAACAGTTAACGGTATCTGACTAGCTTTCCTCTCGACCACTAACAACGCGGTGTAGATATGATGAGTCCACCCATGTGGCAGCTACATAGATTTAAACTGGAACGAAGAATTGTATCTCATGTTAAGAACTGTTTTTACGAATTTCCGTGTTTTATTTCGTAAACAGATCTCAGTCATTTTAATTTTACCGGTATGTAACGTTTAATGCTCTCCGAAAGGAACAACCCATGGAAAGTAACGACCCCCCAAAGTAACGTTCGGAAGTTTACGGTAGTGTTATTATTTAGGGTAATAGACAGCCTGAATGGTGGATGTTAGGTTCCTGTGCCGCCCTTGGTTTTGATCGAGGATTCCTGAGTCGACATTATGTCCAAATGCAAAGTTGTTTATGCCACTCTCGCTGGCTTTGATGTCGTTAGAACTTCCACAAACTTATATTCTTTAACGAACGGAATAGACGAGCGGATATAATGCGAGTACCTTAGTGCCAACTGTTTTCCTACGATGTGGGAAAACGGAATTCGGGCTTCCAGTTTCGATTTTCGTTTACCCACCCCGTCGAAAAAGGGAATTCGAGATTCCATTTTCGTTTCCCGTTTTCCTATTGCATTGAAAATGGAATTCCAAGTTCTATTTTCGTTTTTCGTACTTCCACAACTTTGGACAACCATAGTTAGTGGAGTCCCCTCCACTAACTATGGGACAACAGAATTCTAATTGTCCTTTCCTTTTTTCGTCTTTCGTTTTTGGAAGATATTGATCATGACAAGCCTTTTTGACTTTATAGTGGGACCTAAATAGCCATTTCATTCCGAGATTTGTGATAGTAAAGGGAGGCAATAATACAAGCCCAAAGAGTGCTAGCGTCTGCTTAATAGGCAACTGTCTTGAGATAATATAATAGAACACGAACAAAACGAAAAACGAAAATCGAAGTTCAAACTCGATTTTTCAGTGTCTTGCGAAAAACGAAAATAAAAGTTCGAATTCCCTTTTCCGATGGCGCGGGTAAACGAAAAACGAAACTGGAAGTTCGAATTTCATTTTCCTACGTCTTAGGAAAACGGTTGGCACTAAGGTACACGCACTGGATATATTACACAGGGAACTGGCGCAAAAGATAGCATTGTTGACAAATAAGAGCTTGGCTGGAACTTTAATACCGTCTTAACAAATCTGGCGACAAATCCCCATGATCCAGACACGAAGCAAGCACAGCATAAAGGCCATAANAGGGCAGAGAAAAACAGAAAGGAAAGGGCCAACAAACGAAATTGAGAACGGTTAATGGCAAAAAAAAATTGGGCTTATGTGCATGCCCGTAATTGAAGTTTTGCTCAATTTTGTACCTAATCTTCCTT